GGGGGGCCCCCCCCCCCCCCCCAAAAAAAAAAAAAAAAAAAAAAAACAACAACAACAAACAAACCCACCTTGCTGACGTTTGCACCGGGGTGGGGGCTGTGCTCCACCGGTCTGTCCCGACTGTCCTCGATGCCGCCTTGTCCCCAGGGAGGCGTTTCTTGCTTGCTGCAGGTTGGTTTCCATGTCCTGGACGCAAGAGTGACAGGGAAGGGCAAGGAGGGATGGCGGGCAGGAGGCTGCCACCCGTGCCTCTTGGCCGTGCGCCCTGCGGAGAGGGGGCTAAAGGAGCCTCTGTGCAGCCTCCACAGGACCCCCGTAGTTCCCCTGTGCCAGGGCAGGGGCTCTGCGGGCCGGGCTGGCGATGGCAGTGTGGGGGGAAGGTGGCCGTGTCCTTCCAAGGGGCTGCTGGCAGCAGAAGTGCTGCCCACGCGTGCTCCGAGCAGGGAGATGGGACCAGCACCGTGGTGCTGCCAGGAGCCCCGGCTGCCCCGAGCAGGGCAATTCCCTAATAACCTCGGTGGCATCACCCGCATGGAGCAGCTCCTGCTCATGGCGTGCAGCACGGAGCATCCCGCGTGCCGCGGTTCCTGCGTGGGGAACGGTGCCCGCGGGTGCTACCATGGGAGCCACCTCCTTGCTGGGGTCACAAGACAGTTGCAGTGGGGGGTTTGCCAGGCCACATATTGCTTCCCAGTGGGAATTCCTGCCCTGGGAACTCATGCACCACAATAAGTGTGGCACAATACCACTTTGGCCCCACGGCTCTCCCAGGCCCTCCGAGTGAGGGGCGCTGATTTCCCAGCCCCCCTGGGATGCCTTTGCCTCAGTATCCTTCCCCAGCGGTTCCTCCATCCCTGCTGTTCTCCTGGTGGCTTTTGAGCTGTCCCAGGGCCAGAATTGGGGCAAGAAGGGGTAGGCAAGGCCGGGCAAGTACTCATATCTGTGTGGCTTTTCCTGCCGAGGAGAGTTTCTGTGATGGCAACCGAGTCTTGGGGTTGCCAGAGCTCTTGGCTTGTTTAAACAAGTGAAGAGTGTTTTTGGTGGGGGGGAACAGAGAGCTCAAAGGATCCCGGCGAAAAGCTCCCGTGCTGCCTTCCCAAGGAATATTTTGAAGTGGATCCCACGTTTCTTTAAGGCCCCGGCTAATGAATTTTTAGGATAAAGGCGCGCGCTGGAGCAGGGGGAAGCTCCTGCGGAGGGAGCCGAGATTAGCCCGTGCTTTACGCGAGGGAGGCCTATTTTTAGCCAAAAATGCATGCGGAGTGTCACAGCACGCGTCGTGTGTCACAGCTATGCGCGCCCGCAGATTAGGTGACACAAGATGGTCCTGCGGCC